GCAACATGTCAAAGAGACAACAGAGATCGGTGAAGGGAAACTTTTCTCCCCTGGAAATTTGAGAGCCACATTTGACAACGTTGACTATGACAAGGTTTTCATTTTATTTATTCCTACTTTATTGAATTGAGAGGTTGCTAATTATCAATTTTTCTAAACCATAAGCGGTTCTGTCTCGTATCAAATGTCTTTATTTCCCACTCAACAGCTGATCAACTACTACGTTAAAGAGAAGTACACCTTGAGATACACAGGAGGAATGGTGCCAGATGTAAACCAGGTTATTATAACTTTTCCCATCAAATGTTACTCCCATATTTTCTATTCAATGGTTGGTTTCAGAGATGTCTAAAGGAGTTTATTATCCATTATCCGCAGATCATCGTTAAAGAGAAGGGTGTCTTCACAAATGTTATTTCACCATCTTCCAAAGCCAAGCTGAGATTGTTATTTGAGGTTGCGCCTTTGGGTTTCTTGGTTGAAAAGGCTGGGGGTTACAGTAGTGATGGACATCAGTCTGTGCTAGACAAGGAAATCATAAATCTTGATGATAGAACTCAAGTTGCATATGGCTCCAAGAATGAGATTATCCGGTTTGAAGAAACTCTATACGGGAAATCAAGACTCAAGTCTGAGGGTGTTCCTGTAGGAGCTGCTGCTTAAGCAAAAGTGCTAGCTTCTCATGCTTTTCTTATCCTTGTTTTGATCCAAATTTAAGCTATCTGGTATACAGAATTGTGCGATAGTGCATGGAACATTCAAATATTGGAGACTTCCACAATTAAAAGATTAGATTTGCGTGAGCATGAAAATCAAGCAGGAATGATGACTATTCTTTCCTTGCCATGTTTTCTTCTCTGATTTGTGTGATTGACTATATATGGAACTGACTTCAAGGGAACAGCTTATAAATATGTTTTAAAGTTAGATGATCAAGAATTTGTGCTGGGTTTTGTTGAAGTTTCTGCTGCTGTTAGGGGGGAGTTACATTCATGGTTTCAGCTCCACGAGTAATATTTATTAAGAGCCTGCTAGGAATTTCGTGAACTTCACTGGCAAGATTTTTGAGTCTGTTTTCTCAATGCGTAATGATACAGAGTGGAAATAGTACTGCTACTTGAGCGGCAATAAAGATGGATGGCCCTGGAATTATCCCTATTCCCTTGTCTTGATTCTTAGACCATGCCAATCTTTACTTTAGATCTTACTTCTTAGGATTCTTCTCAAGATACCATCGCTGCAATCTTACAGTGAACTTATTCTATTTGCCAGCTCAAGGTGATCATAATCATAAGAAGATCCATAGCAAGTTTTCCCACTCTATCAAGGGCGAACCTAAAAATTTGATTGTTTGCAAGGTGAAGGATTTTGCTGACACAATTCGAGACAGAACCTTAGACCACACTAGATACCGATACACAAGGTATGTGGTAACTCTTTACAATCTATGATCTTGAAACTAAAACCAACACGTAACATTGGGATGCACAAGTTCTTTTTATTTATGTATCGTTGTTTGTGCTTTTGAACTTCATTCTAGTCTAATCATAGCAGTTACCTTTCATATAGGAGGTCGAAGCAGGTGTGGTGAAATGGCGCGGATCGGCAGGAGGCATAGTTGAGGCGCCTATAGACAAAGTCTGTACCATGGTTTCTGAAACCAAGAAACTAGCAGAATGGTTGCCAATGGTTAAAAGATGCTCTGATTTTGCTAGAGAAGAAGGCGTTCCAGGTTATGTTCGGTTAGTATCAGGATTCATGTTCCCTCAACAAGATGGTGACAGGTCATGGATTAAGGAGAGGCTGGTTGTTATGGATTCTACATCACCTAGCCATTTTTACAAAATGGAGGCCAGCAATGTTGGTTTAGATATCAATAAATACATTAAAACTTGTTGATTACGGGGATGATTCCACAGTAGTTAACTGGTCATTTCAGAGAGACCATTTGGAAGGTGCATCTGAGGATAGCATAATATAGATTATCTTGGATTTCTGTACAAATCTGACATGAGTAGGATTGAAGGTGCTCTAAGAGCTTCATCAACGGGAGTTTGATTAACATTTTAGGTTTTCTGTAAGGCTAATCCAACAAAGTGCAGTATTGGTTAGCCAGAATTTTTTTTTTCCTTTCAGTGGTTGGACGCTGGAGTAAATTCCAATAGAAAAAGAAAGATCTCGCATCCATCTCTGGACCTTTGCCTTGCTCTCCTTATTGCATTTTCGGTATTGTGTTTCCATGTACATTGTATTTGCTTTTTTTTTTTAAAAAAAAAAAAAATTCAAACTTATGCCCCCTTTTTAAGATATTTTTTAATAATTTTAATATTTCAAACTTATGCCCCCCTTTTAAGATATTTTTTAATAATTTTAATGTGTTAATCGCGTTAATATAAAAAAATTTTAAAAAATTATTTTTATATATTTTTAATTTAATTTTTAATTTTAAAAAAACATACACAATACAAATACCAAACACACATTCAAAAAAAAAAAGATTCAATTTTCAAAGTAATGGACATTACTTATATTTTCAGCACTGTTTATTTACTAAAAAATAATTTTTATTTAGAAAATAGGTTTCATGTAAAGTAAATTATTGTAAAATAATTTTTTTTAATGTTTGACAATGTCAAGAAAAATTAATTAGAAAATATTTTTTAGTATTTAGTTATACTATAAAAAAATGAGTTGGATAAAAATTTATTAATACTTATTTTTTTGAAGTTTATTAAAAAAATAAGAATCGAATATGAAAGATAAAAAAATTGAATGAGAATAAAATTGAAAAAAATAATTTAATTTCATAAATAATTTTAAATAAAACAAATAACAATTAAAAAATATAAAGACTAAATTTGATAGATAAAAAAAAAAGATAAATATTCTGTAAAAAATTAAATTCTATAAATTATTTTAAATAAGCAATTAAAAGATGATAGATAAAAAAAATTTAATTAATAAAATAATAATAAATAAATAAATCAAAAGAATAAAACAAAACTAATATAACAATAAAATCAAATCAAATTCAAAATGATAAAATTAAAAAAAATATAATAATCAAAGAATGGAACCCTAAATTTGATATAATTAAGATTTAAAAAGTGCATTAAAGGAAAACACTATTTTAGAAATCAAATTCACAAAAAAAATTATTTTTTATTTATTAAATTTTTAGTAAATAAATGTAGAAAAATTTAGAAAGTGCTTTCGGGTGCTTATTGAAAACAATTTCTCTACTTCAAAATTTACCTGTCAATACCATGACGAACTCAGCATCCCCATCTCTTGCGTTCTAGTAATCACATACAATAATACTGGACAAGGATGGGTTCCAGATGTACATAGTTTTGCATAGGAAGACTGCAATTCTGGAGCGTTTATAGACGTTTGACTAACTGTGATTTGGTGGTGGTTGCCTCCAAATAAATTATTGAATGATCGTTGCTAAATTTAACCGTACATGTAACGGCCATTGTTTTTCTGATCCTCAACTTTCCAGCCACTTCCTTTTCTTTTTCTTAAAGAGCATCGTGCTGTTCCGAACGTTGGTAGAAACGGCACCTAACTTTATTTATTATTTTCGAAGAAACTACATAAAATTTACGAAAGATGACCGTTGTAATTAAGTTTAAACACACACTTCGATAAGCCTTCTCGCTGGGCTACGCTCTGAAATCACACTTGCTGCTCCGAACGTTGGTAGAAACGGCACCTAAATTTATTTATTATTTTCGAAGAAAATACATAAAATTTACGAAAGATGACCGGTGTAATTAAGTTTAAACACGCACTTCGGTAAGCTTTCTCGCTGGGCTACGCTCTGAAATCACAAAGTCAGGGTTCGGGGCCTTATATGCAGTTTAGGCTAATCTATGGGCCAGACGACTGATGCAAACTCGGATCTGACTGAAAATCGGTTTATTTTAGAAAGTCTACATTATCGTTGCTGCCCTTGATGTCAAATTTCAGCGTGTGAAGCTAACCAACCTTCAAGCACCAAAGACAAAGCTCCATGACGTATAAACGAAAGGAAATACCATAGTTAACGTGTCATAATCACAGTATAATCATTGAGTTACTGATCATTGATGCTAATCTTCGGAAAATTACAATCACTGTACAAATGTTTAAGTCAATGAAAATGTGGCAGCTATATATGTAAAAGCTACTGTTTTTTTGTCCATTTAACTTTAGTGATGACGAGGAGTGAGTGAATTGAAAGGCTTCACGCCAACAAATTTTCACATCATAGTTATCTAGTTTCTGGTTTGCTCTTAATGTGGATGTTCGATCTCTACCTTTTTTGAGCTGTAAGATATTCCTTGCAAAGTAAAAAAACTAGTCGAGAAGTGAAAGGGAAATGAAGAGGTGGCCTCATGAAATGATAGAAAAAGAATGTGGGTTTAAAAGGCGAAACAGATGCGGGATTTGGTAATTGATAGGCAGGTTGAACTGTACAAACCCATATCTAAAGCTTACTTTAAACATTTTGATTCTTGAAAGCCATTTCTCAGCTATAAAATATGCATTTTTATTAACATTTTCATTCTTTCATGGACCATTACCCACCACCACAATTGCCGTCTCCTGTGCTTTTATACTCTTCTGGAAGAGTACGCAGTGCAAGCAGGTGAAAGAGCTCCCGCAATTGGTACAAGCATCACTAATTAATTGTCATGATTAAACATCTCTTTGTTTCAATGTATTTGACAAGGGAGTACGCCTACATTAATGGCTTTACATGCAAGGTATATCTTCCCGAGAGAGATAGTTCAGTTGAGCTATATGTTTCAAAACACAAAGGGTTCCAGTCATTTGACATTAATGGCAATAAGGTCTTGCTAGCTTACTTCCAAATGTGTGGGCCAGCATTGTGTAACATGCAAGAAAACCTGAAAAAATTCAGACGGGCTTTTTTCATTCACCTAACTAAGGTAGAAAGACATTGCATCAAAGATTTGTTCTCTTGTTATAAAACTTAAGGTGGTCAATCGTACCTTAGCATTTCAAAGCAAGTCACAATTCATAGAAAAGATAGAAAGAGAGTGAGTGAGAGAGGATGGAGTACTATCAGGCTCGGACAATGCTGCTAGTGATTTTCATTTTTCCGGCATTAGTCGAGTGCAAGGTCCGTCTTTATAATTTCAGGGTAAGTTTCCATTCTCCGCTACATTTTTGCAGGAGTTCACCTCTAGCGATGAACGAGGGCTGCCATTTCTTATTTTGATAGTTAAAAAAGAGAGGGTCATGCTTAATGTTTCATTAGCTGTGATGACAAATTAAAAGATAATTTCGTTTTTTTTATTTTATGCAAAAGGGCCAAGTGCCTCAGAAAAATCAAGCATTAATCCGGACAAAACGAACTTTGCTATATACGAGCATGATCAAATGTGAGAATTTATGTATGAAATTTAATCAAAGGAGATTCTTGTGGCCCAACACATGTTTATCTCTACCTGTTGGTGTCATTATGCAGTCATAAAAAAATATTAAATAAATTAGATTTACGTAGATGAAAATTTTCTATTGATTGGTGTAATAAGCTTTCGTATACATTATTATTGGTTATTAAAACGAATTCTTGTAATGTGACTAGTTTGGCTCATGCGAATTAAATCGTAAGAATTCTTCACACATCACATACACAAACCAATCTAAATTTAAAAACCATTCTCTAGCAAGTAATTTTGACATGGTCGAAATACAAATTCTTAGGGTAGTATGCCCTTCTCCTTGTCTCTTCTACCCCCTTCAATGAAAAGTTTGCAAACTTCCGTAGAACTGGAAATCGAGAACTTGACTGTGAAAACCACTGCTTAATTATATTGGCTGCTCGGCGAGCAGGTAGTCCTGACGAACACAACTAAGCTTTGTTCAACGAAGTCCATCCCCACCATCAACGGAAAGTTTCCGGGGCCCACTATTTATGCAAGGGAAGGAGATAATGTCAATATAAGGCTCACTAACCAGGTCCAACACAATGTTACCGTCCATTGGTGAGACTCATTAAGTGCATCTTAAGCCTGTTGTTATTTTTAAATAATAGGTTCTTGTTGATTAGGATGATATATGGAGGTTATTTTTGTTTTGGCAGGCATGGAGTGAGGCAGTTGCGTACGGGCTGGGCCGACGGGCCAGCATACATTACACAGTGTCCAATACTGCCTGGGCAAAGTTATCTCTACAATTTCACTCTTACAGGCCAGAGAGGCACACTTCTCTGGCATGCACATATTTCATGGTTAAGGGCAACGATACATGGTGCCATTGTCATCTTTCCTAAGAAAGGTGTTCCTTACCCATTTCCAAAACCTGACAAGGAAAAGATCATCACATTGAGTGAGTCCCAATCTGAGTTTTTTTTTTTCCCTCTCAATTTCACTGCAATTATAATGATTTTATTGGCTCATTCTGTGGCTGTCCTATAAAGCCCATAGATCGATAATTAAGCTAGTGGTGGTGATTGGTTTTGTTAATTATGTAGGTGAATGGTGGAAAGCTGATGTTGAAGCTGTGATCAACCAAGCAACGATGACTGGCTTGCCTCCAAATATATCAGATGCACACACCGTTAATGGCCAGACGGGGGCAGTTCCGGGCTGCACTTCTCCGGGTAATGACCCTTTTTTAATGATTCTGATAAAAAAATTCATATTGTGTAAGAATTTTCAACTTTCAAGCAAAAAATAGAGTCTCTTTTACTCACTAAATTTTTGTATTGCCACATTTTTGCTGCCATGAAGAAAATTTATGACTGACATAGATCCTTGACATTCTATTTTGTGCGCAGGTTTCACGTTACATGTTGAAAGTGGCAAGACCTATTTGCTACGCATTATCAATGCAGCATTAAATGATGAACTCTTCTTCAAGATTGCAGGGCATAATATTACCGTTGTTGAAGTGGATGCTACTTACACTAAGCCCTTTAGCACCGACACGATATTTATCGGTCCAGGCCAAACCACAAATGCCCTTCTTACTGCAGATAAAAGCATTGGCAAGTATTTAATAGCTGTGTCTCCCTTCATGGATACTGTAGTTGCTGTTGATAATGTGACTGCAATCGCTTTCTTGCGCTATAAGGGAACCCTTGCATTCTCCCCACCTGTCCTAACCACCACTCCTGCTATAAACGCAACTCCTGCAACTTCAACTTTCATGGACAAACTTCGAAGCCTGAATTCGAAGAAGTACCCAGCCAATGTCCCATTAACAGTAGACCATGATCTATACTTCACGATCGGTGTCGGGATTGACCCTTGTGCAACATGTATTAATGGTAGCAAGGCTGTGGCAGATATAAATAATGTTTCTTTTATAATGCCAACTACAGCTTTACTTCAAGCACACTACTATAACATAAGTGGGGTCTTCACAGATGATTTCCCAGCAAAACCACCGATTACTTTTAATTATACGGGAAATAATACGGCAATGAATCTAAAGACCACAAATGGTACTAGAGCTTATAGGCTGGCTTTTAATTCAGCAGTTCAAGTGGTGTTGCAAGGAACCACTATAATAGCACCTGAGAGTCATCCATTCCATCTTCATGGATTTAATTTCTTCGTTGTTGGCAAGGGACTAGGAAATTTTGATCCAGATAATGATCCAAAGAAATTTAATCTGGTTGATCCTGTTGAAAGGAACACAGTCAGTGTACCTACTGCCGGATGGATTGCAATCAGATTCAAGGCAGATAATCCAGGTAATTAAATCTAGAATCCTTTTTCTTTTTTCTTCTTCTTTCTCTGTCGTAGTACTTTCCAAATTAATCAGGTTAAAGGTAGCTGTCTAAAATGCGAATATGAGATTTTTGTCATGGTAGTAACTTTCCCGATAATGATTTTGTACCTCAATCTGTCTATGTTGCCTTGGCATGAAGTTATAGTATTTGACAAGATTAATTCTCTCTCTCCTTTGAAAATAAAAGTGGGAAGATCCTTCCCTAAACAGTACTTACTATTTGAACTTTGAATGGCTTCTTCCTTCTCCTTTTAAATTTCATTTCAGTTTTGTAAGGCAAAAAAAGGAATGGACTAAATATAACGCATAAATCATCTGTTAGGAATGGTTATCTCTTCGAATTGTTTATGACCACAGTTTCATGATTGAATTGATTGGCGAAGTGTGTTGTTAATTATAGCTATCCATTTTTCTGATAAGCTGGTGGTGACACGCAGGTGTTTGGTTTTTGCATTGCCATTTGGAAGTACACACGACATGGGGACTAAAGATGGCATTTGTGGTGGACAATGGCAAGGGCCCAAATGAGTCAATACCACCACCTCCTAGTGACCTTCCATCGTGCTAGAATCTTGATGAAGATGCTTTGAAACCACATATTTGAGACTAGGGATGCGGGAGGGAGGAGTATAGTATAGTTCACAATTGGGGGGTGAAGTGCTCAGGAAAAAAAAAAAAAAAAAAGAGATTTGATAACAAAAGCTAATAAACAGGAGAGAAATGGGTTGCGTTTTATTTTTTGCATTTATGTAGCACAATGAAGTTTCTAAGAAAGAGTGAATAAATTAAGCTGTAAAAGTTAGTCATGTTTATCATTTTTATTTCTATTTTCAGGTGGAATTTGTTAAACACGCTTTGATTCCACTTGAAGTTGTATGAATGCTTGTGACTCTTGCAACAATTGGGAGAGAATTAAAAGCGGGCAATCCCAACTAATGGTTATTTAAACTTTTAATTTGCACAGGCTTCTTAATTGATTTGAGTTCACCTGGTAATTTGCCATGTAAATCATAACACTAAATAATTCAATAAAAATTAAATTAAATTAAATTATAAAATTTAATTTTTAATTAATTAAATATTAAAATATAAAATTAAAAAACATAAAAAACATCTCAAGTTGATTAGAATTAATCTATTAGATTTGTAACTCGGATTATAAAATTAGAATAATTTTATAAAAATAAATCAAAACAAATCATATAAAATCAACCTAATAATATTAAAAAATAAAACTAAAAAAAAAACTTATATCAATTGAGTTATTAATTGAGTTAACTGTTAAACTTTTAGTTTATGATCTAATAAAAAATTAATTGAACAAAATTATAAATTATAATATCTAATATTAAAATATAGATTAAAAAATAAAAAATAATATAGATTAAAAAATACTATTTAAATAGATAATTTTATATAAAAAGAATTACAATAAAAAAATACTCCATATGTTGAAGTGTGCGGATGTTTTTCTTTTTCACAATCAAATACTAATAGTATAAAAAAGACTCATAAAGGAAAAGTATAATAGCATTCAGGTTGTCCTTTCGTCCAAAAAAAAAAACCCCTCTAATTGCAGTACCGGAAATCATAATTAGAAAAAAAAAAAAAAAACGAGCATCCAAAATCTTTCAATTTACAAAGAAAAAAGCTTTATTTTCATAAGCTAGACACCCTTGGAGATCATACTAGAGCTCTAATTTTGCCCATTAAAAAGCCGAAGTCTTTTATCATCTTCCCTGTATGTAATTATTAAGAGGAACTCCTGTCACTGGTACAAATGCCACACTCCAATACCGGACTGCCACTTTCCATGTCTCCTTCTCGCATCAACAAGCAGGAAAAAATATCTGAAATTTGTTTTGATAATTTGATTCCTCACTTTTGATTATCTCCGGCTCAACCAGCCGCCTTTGTGCAATCTACTCGTACTATAAATATATACATAAAACTTTCCCTTTCCTTTTCTTCTCTTCAAGGAAATTAAGAAAGAAAATAATTTTCCCGCTTTTTCTCTCTTGCAGATTCCTTGGCTTCTTTCTTGCTCTCTTGCTTAGTCGGTCGACTTGATCATCATTTTCTTTCCTTTTCTTATTCGATAATCGTTCACTTAGATTCTTCCTTTTTGATTTCAAAGTTTCTTTCACTTTAATTATGTGCTAATAATAGCAATCCGTGTGGTATGAAATCAATCTTTTGAGATTCACTTCTTCAAAATTTCTGTCAACTTCTCTGTTTCAAATTCAATTTTCCATCTGGGCTTTTGCTTTTCTCTCTTGGGGCAAATACCTGGGTAAAAGATTAAGTTTTTTTCGTCTTTTCAGGATTCTCTTCGATTCTTGAAAGATGGGTCCCTTTTAGATTCTTCAGTGTATGCTGTTAAGGAAAGCAGATTCCTGATTCCTTGTATATGATTCTTTGTAAATGCTTTTTAGACTTGCTTAAAACCCTTAATCTTTCATATACTATCTGTTTCCTTCTTCTGCTCTTCCCTGCTGTTTGTTTCTTGATTTCAATCATTTTCACTTTTCAATTCAATATGAAACTGTAAGCAGTCGCTGCATATTAAGTGCTGATAGGTATGGAAACTCTGAATCCATCTTGTTACATGTCGAATTCGAATTGGTTTACCCAAACCACAGAGTGGACTAGAGAGGAGAACAAGGAGTTTGAGATAGCTTTGGCGATATTTGATGAGCACGAGCCTGATAGGTGGCTAAAGGTGGCAGCTATGATACCTGGAAAGACAGTTTATGATGTGATCAAGCAATACAAGGAGCTGGAAGAGGATGTTAGCGATATAGAAGCAGGGAGGGTTCCGGTTCCGGGTTACCTTAGCTCGTCTTTCACTTTCCAGTTGGTTGGCAATAGCAATTTTGATGCGTATAGGAAGAGGTCTTTGACTGCCAAGAGTGCTGATCAGCAGAGAAAGAAAGGCGTGCCATGGACAGAAGATGAGCACAGGTGAATACCCTTCAATTTTTTGTTATGACTTCACTTTGTAAGATTTCTTATGTAAAACAGTAAATTTTGAAGTGACAAGGCATTTATTCATTAGTTTACAACAAAAATAAATCATTAATTAAACTCAGTGAAATGATTTGTAAGAGATTCAGTAGAGTTGTTATTTCATTGATCATGCACTTTCCAATTTAACTGGTTAATTTATCAGCGGCAAAATGGGTTTTCAGATGATGGAACATTTTCTCTCAAGCCACGGTTCAAATTCGTTACTCGTTATTTCCAGGATAGGAACTTTTATATTTTAAATCCATTTCTCTTGTCATTGTAAATTTTTGGAAATAGGCCTAAGATTATCTAGCTGAGAGATTAGAAGTTGGAAATGTCAAGATTGGAACTCTTTTTATAGTTGTCAGGGGCTGCTTTTCTTCTTCTTCTTTTTTCTGTTTTGCAATGAAGGTGACAGAAACAGTTTCTTTTCGAGTTGTGTTTATTTCTCCTTGAACTTGTTCCTGTTTTTGATGATGATCAATAGGCGGTTCCTTATGGGACTTCTAAAGCATGGAAAAGGGGACTGGAGGAACATATCTCGCAATTTTGTAGTTTCCAAGACTCCAACTCAAGTGGCGAGCCATGCACAGAAGTATTTCATACGGCAGCAGCTTTCCGGAGTGAAGGATAAGAGAAGACCTAGCATCCATGACATTACAACGGTCAATCTCGCGGATGCTACTACTCCGTCAGATGGTGACGAAGCTTCCTCGCTAGATCAATCTGATTTGCTTTTATCGCAGCAAAAGCCAGCAGGGATGCAGAAAGTGTTGATTGACTGGGATGAAGCAAAGGATGGATCGATTATGGTCTTTGATTCAACTCATGAAGACTTGTTTAAGTCATCTCCATATGAGATACCTTCGAATGGTCTAAAATTTCAGGGGCAAAATCTGTGTGTCGGTGCTCATCATGGGGCTCGTATCAACCCCCATAACATGGTTTTTAAATTGCCACCCCCAAGATTTCAAATTCAATATTAGGGCTCCTTTCTTTGTTGTATAGGTGGATGGAAAAGCAAATTTGGTTTAGGTTCAATCGAATCTGGATGGCAGTGCTTCCTTCTGCCCTAGTCATGTGTGTGATCGGTTTAATCAGTGACTGTTCCAGTACATTTCCTTTAATTTCTTGCTTTGTTTCTTTTCCTTTTTCTTCCCTGAACAGTTGTAGTAAATTGTTCTTGAACATAAAAGAATTATGGACTCTATATAATGTCTGAAATCCCAACTTCCAGCTGGTGAAAATGAAACGCAGGGCTCAAGAAGGGAAAACTAGTTTCAGGAGGCTTTCTTCTAGTAGCGGAAACCTTCTTCTTAAGTCTCCCCTTCAGTGCACACTAAATCTCGATGATTGTAAACCCGTACTTCGATTTATGTTCGCGTTGTGCTGACCTCAAGATCAGCAGTATAATAATCTATCAATTAGGTACAAAATTTTGTCGTGCTTTCAAAGGGTGATGTGAAAGCACCTTATGCATTGCAATTTTGTAACTATGACACACGATCCGCCATGTCATTCAGTGATTTGGCGAAGCTATAGCTGACTCACCAGGCACTCTTTTTTGGAATTCCGCAGTATCTGATTGCATGCTTTATTTTTATTTTTTATTTCTCGTCGGTTCTTTAGCAATTCTTAGCTTTATGCGATCCAATATGGCCAAGTTGACCTAAGCTTGATCACCATGATCACTTTAGTCGCAGCTGAGTTTGCATTCCACTTAGCTGAGCATCACATGCTTCAATCTATCGTAGAATATGGAACGATCCACGCAAGAATGCCAATCTACAGGTTTTACATTTTGTTTAAGCATCTTTTATTCAACCCATATATATATATATATATTCGCTTTTTCTATTCTATTTGTCTTTCCGCCAGCCCAATTGCCGATGGTGGCAACACTGTTTCATCAGCATCCTACTTTTACTGCAACTTCTTTTACTGCAGTGGGTGGTTGACAACATCTACTTGCCGACTTCGCAGGATGAAGTGTGCTCCTCTTGCCATTTCAACTAAGCGCGTGAGGAAATTCAAGAGTACATGTAATTAAAGCAAACACTTAAATTAATTCGAAAGCTAAAACATTAGCCTAATTGATCAGTCAATTCATCAGCCTAAATTAGTTGAGCTAATCCAAGCTCAAGCTCTATTTATTTATTTACAAAATAAGCTTTAAAGTTAGTTCACATGGCTTCTTAACCACTAATAAATTATCTAAAACTTGAAAAATATATCAACTCAATTCATTTGCTCAATATTCGGATTATCAAGCTCAATATTCGGAGAATAAACTAATAATTTTCTTTTATCCGAGGACAATGTACAATCAACATCATGAAGTTAATTTATGGAGAAATTGCCCCTCCCCTTCCCCCCTTAATAAACAATATTTGTCTATTTGACATAATATACCATGGTAAATTACATGTCAAGGTATTGTGAAATTATAAAAATTTAAATTATCTAAATTATACGCTTTCTATTTTAATTATTTTGGTAGTTTGTTTATTATGTTAATAGATTGGTTTGAGCTCGGGCTTAGGAAAAAATTGAGAGACGCGTATAGTTTTAGCATTTGAATATATATAGTAGTGAGATAGATTATTACAATAGTACTTATGTTTTCTTTTAGAAACGAAAGTGTAAATTGAGAATATTTTCTTGTTTGTGTGTATTTGTTGTTTAATTTTTAATCTTTTTTATATTTTAATTCATTTTCTTAGATTTAAGGGACAGGTGGAATCATATAGTTAAACTAACAAATCAATTTACGGTGTGTTGTATGGATGCAGGGACGAGCTCATGACAAAAATGGGAGTAAAGTGTTGGTTTTAATACAAAAACAAGTAAGAGGTTCAAATTAGGTCAAATCAAAAGTCAAGGGATGGATATAGACTTTAAATATAAGCATATGGATTTAAGTAAGCCTTATCAG